CCAGAAGGGATCCTCGCCTAGGGTGCAAAATAAGCTGGGGCCGGCCCTGGTTAGGTCAGGGAATGAACAAGTGCCCAAATTCAACAACCAAATTAGATTTCCTAACAGCCATTTTTTGTTTGAGTTTTTATGTAAAGTTCTCTTCTCCAATCACGTCTGCTCACCAATTCAAACAAGATGGGTTGTTTATTTTTTTGGTTATTATTTTTGACTATTTCCCATGGACACCTGTGGGCGACCTTGCACCTGCAGTCACACACTCTTAACCTAACCTACTTCAAAGGGTTGTTGTGAGCATAAAATGGAGAAGAGAATGATGTAAGCTGCAGTGGGTCTCCATTGGGGAGAAAAGCACAATGTCATTGATATAAAAAAAATAAAACATAGCAAATACAGATTACAAACTCCTGTTGCCATTGTTTACAAAGAGCATGTTGGCATTTAAAAACAGCTTTAAAAGTCTGCAGGCTTGCTATAAAATAGAAGTCAGCTAGTTTATGTCTAGCAGAGGCAAGAAAGTCAATGCTAACAGAGTGAATAAGGAAGGTTCTATGTAAACATGCGAGCTCCTTGCACTTATCACCTAGGTACTTTCTATCTGTGATCTTATTTAGGACTGCATTTGACTAATTTAGCTTGTTATTTATTGGCAGTCATAATTGCAATTTTAAATTGTGGTCTTATATGTATTTTTATAATTGTTTTATTTACATTGTAAGCTGCCTTGAGTCCCAAAAGGTAAAAAAATGTTTAAAATAAAAATAAGGTTTATAAAACTGAGGCGCCAGCACCGAACACTTACAGAGTAATGCCCCAGCTAAAAATGTCCTGTTTCCATGGAATGCTAATTGAAAAGTGGGGGAGGGGGGCTAAAACTGATAGGGAGTTATAATTAGAGACGATTGGGATCTAAGAATTGTAAAAATGCATGGAGAAAATAAATAATAAAGGTAAGGGGAAAGAAATCAGAATGAGAAAAGAGAAAGCAGAGCCATCAGGTGCTACACACAGAAGCACACAACCAAGTATAAACTCCCTTTTGCTTTCTTCAGCAATCTGAGCCAGTCACCAAGCCAAAGTTTAAGTTCTAGTGGTGACCAGACACTTGGCAAGTTTTGCAGTTCTATCTCTGGACCCGTATCTAAAACCCCACATTATGTCACCAATAAAGTCTAACATAACAGCAACAATGCTGCAAGACAGGCATATTTATTTACATCTTTTCAGAAGGCAATGTTCTCACTCATTTAACACCACAATTTTACCAGGAAATTCTTCACTCACCCAGTATTGACACTTTACTTAGAAATTCTTCATACATCTTTCTCTTTCTCAATGTGCTACCCTAGAAAAAAAGCACAGACACATCCATATATTATTTTTCCTCTATAGTAACTTGACAATCCATAGAAGCAGCTAAAGATTTTAGTCCCATATGTGATTAGTATCAGCCCTAGGACATCCGGTAATTATATGTACACTGCCTGTGTATATGTGGAGGTGCCAATCCTTTTTATGACAGCTAATAATCACTAATAGAATTATCCTCCAAACATTTATACTAAATGGTCATAACATCCTGTGCAAAAGATTTCACAGAATACATAAGTAGACTTTGTTTTGTCCATTCTAGTCTACCAATTCTAATTAACCAATCTCATTGGATCAACCTAGTCTAATCAACCAATTTCACTGGAAATCTGTCTTTAAAAGCATAATTTGGCTTATGTAGTCTCAATGAACAAACAACTTATTGCTTACAGTCAGGAGGGGTCTGCATATACTTTTTGTCAGTGACTGAAGAAAAGTATGTAACTGATATACCAATTGCTATACATAAGCAAAGAGAAAAAGCATTTTTAACACAGAGGGTCTGGAAAAATTCAGTTTGGCCATAACTAAGGATGAATGTTTATGGCTTTAGAACACTGATGCCTGAAATTCGTTTATGCTGCCTTTTTATTCCCAAAAAAAGGTTTTTTTAAATTACATTTAAAGCTCTGTCTATATAAAAGCCTATTTATACTATAGTTAAAGTCAGTTAGTCAGTACCTTTATTGGCATAAATAGTTGAAGTCTAATGTGTGAAATATGAGAAATGAACTTAATTAAAACATTAGACTAGATTGTGTAGCGTTAAATGTTGTGAATTGTATTTTAATAAAAACATTTACACATAAGGCTGCCAAGTCCCCCCTGGGGGCGGATTCCCCCCCGCTTTGGAGGCACGATTTCCGCCACCGCAGAATCGGGCCCCGGCGGAAACTCCACCCCGGAGTGCACGTCAGCCGGAGGTGACGTGATGACGCCGGGCACGCTGGGGGCGGGGCCACAGCCATTTGAGGGGAAAACTATGTTTTAATGTATTTAATTTTGATGGAATCATGCCCTAACTACATTTACCCAAAATCTAAATATCTAAAAATCATAGGAATCCTTGTCTCAGTTGCCAACAAGAGGTGCAGGGTAGAGAAAGAGGGTATTGGGACAGGAAAGAGAGAGAGAGAGAGAAAGAGGAAGCAGAGTAGGATTAAAGGGAAGGAACAAAGTGGATTCAGAGCAGAAAGGTTGAGGTGGAAAAAGGAGTTGACAAGGGTGGCAGGAGGAAATGTGGTAACCAGAGTAGTCAAGGGGGGCAGGGTGGACAAAGGGGACACAGTGCAATAAGGGGAAGGGAGGAAAAAACGGTATTTCTTGAGTCTGTCAAGATAACTGAAAAACAATTCAAAACTTAAAAGCAATTCAACTGAAATACACATACACTGACAAAAACACCCAACATTATTTCCTCTCAAATAAAACACTTACCATAAGGATTCTTCTGTAACTATCTCTATCAATACCCCACAGTTTCACATTGGTTTTTGCCTTGACAGTTGCTGCTCTGGGTGTACCATAGATCAGTGCGAGTTCACCAAAGCTGCCCCCTTCTCCAACACTAGTGGCCCATTCATTGTTCACATATACCTAAGAAGGCAACACATACAGTTAAGGAAATATTTTATTCACAATAGCAATAACTGAATAATGATACTCAAAGTTAATCACTTTAAAAGGATGTGCTAATGAATGTGACTACATTAATTTGTTTTGAAATTTTAAATGTTTTGATTGCTTGTACACATCTATACAAACAGAAAAATAAGCTAAGGAAATAGATATTAAAATCTGAAAGAAATTTATTTTGAAAAGTGTTCCTTCCAAGTTTATTTGAAGCTAGATCTCAATTTATTATTATTAATTATTGTTATTATTTATTGAATTCCTAAACCACCCTCCCCCGGAGGGCTCAGGGCTGTGTACACCATTTTTAAAATACAATTCAGTTAAAAACATTCCAAAGAATAAATTAATTAAATTAAAACCCAGCCATGGAACATAGTTTCCAATAAACCTTCAATCTTAGATGGCATTCTGCATGTGGACGCTTCCACCAAGGGGCGAGGTCCTGGGCCGGATGAGATGGGAAAACTGTTGCTGTCCTCAACCATAGGCCTAGTGGAACATCTCTGTTTTACATGCTCTGCAGAACTGTACAAGGTCCCACAGGGTGCAGACGTCTCCAGGTAGAGAGTTTCACCAGGCAGGAAACAGGGCCAAAAAAACCCCAGCTCTGGTTGAGAACAGCTGGACATCTCTTGGGCCCAGGATCACCAGCAGATTTTGATATTGCGAGCATAGTGCTCTTTGGAGAACATATCGGGAGAGGCAGTGCCATAGGTATGTTGGTCCCTGACTGTTAAGGGCTTTAAAGGTTAAAGCCAGAACCCTGAAGTGGGTTCAGTACTCAACTGGGAGCCCATGCACCTGGTGAAGCACAGGTTGGATGTGTGCTATCATAGGGGTGCCTGTCAGCACCCACACTGCTGCATTCTGGACCAGCTGTAATTTCTGGGTCAGCTTCCAGGGTAGCCCTATGATATGCTGACTATTTAAAAATATTTATATACTGCTTTTCCTAAAATAAGCCCATAGCTGTTTCCAGACACACACAGTTTCCGTGTAAAATACTTTAAAACATCTAAAAGAGTCAATATAAAAACATTTAGACAAAGGCTTTTCTAAAAAGCTCTGCCTTGCATTTCTTTCGGAACAGCAGAAGGTATAATATGGCTCACATTCAGCAGCACACTGCATTAGAGACAGCTGCCACAGAAACCATTCTTACCCAGGCTGAGCTTTGTCTTAACTTCTCTTAAAGAGGAACAGAAAGGATGATTATATGGTTTGCCCAAGCACAGAAGGAAAGTGGCAGTCCTTCAAGCATGTGGGTCCTAGACTATAAAGGACTTTAAAGATCAAAAGCAGTACCTTGAATTGAACCTGGAACAAACAGCTGATCCCAGTCAAACAAACACAATGCTACATTCTGTACCAATTATAGTTGAAGCTGTCTTCAAGGACAGCCCACTTAAAGCAAATCACAGCAATTTTGTCTTCAGGTGTCATTTTTGAGCCAGGCACTACTGAAAAGAGGCACTCTTAAAAGCACCAACCATTTTTAATTGCAAAACTGAATCCAAGAGCACCCCTATGTTCTTAACTGAATCTACCAGTGCTAAAGACATTTAATCCTAAGTAGATAAGTAAATTTCCCTTCCTGAGCAATATCACCTCTGTCTCACCAGGATTCAGTTTTAGCTTGTTTGTCCTTAGGCACCTAACCATGACATCCAGGTAATATTCTAGGACTCAAAGTTTAGAGGATGCATATTTGACACGAAGCCAGAGGAAAGTGTTAACATGATGGGAAAGAAAGCCAGGCCCAGGCTATTTCTTCAACAATGTGGACATATTTCTATCACTGCACATTGGATTGGAGCCAACAATGCCCTTCCATTCAAGGAAGGCACCACTGGATCCAAGGACAATGAATTCATACAGTTTAGCAAAACTTACATCCATTTCTCCTTGATCAACAACATAAAAGTTATCCCCTTCATCACCTATGGAGGAATTTAAAAGGACAGTAAGTACAAGAGCAAGTCACAGTAAGTAATTACTAGTATAAGAAATTAGAAATTGCACACACAAACTATCTACCACTTCACGCAGCGAGTACTAGATCTATCTTAGACTTCGCATTATCTGTAATACCCACACTTTAAACTTTACATTAAAATACACCCATGCAAATGAGAAATCACACTCTATTAAAATATTACAAAGATGGAAACAATTAGAAATATTATTGGGTGGTTAAGAAATTTTGAGCAAAAGCTCTCTATTTCAATGGCCAGGGCTGCAGAGAATTTTCATTTAAGAACAAAGGGCCAGTCAAGGAGCACGTGGTGGTCATTACACTGGGCAAATACCTAGCTAAGCAATACCAGCTTACTGAATTCTATACCTGGAATTTCTCAGTGTTTTTGTAGTGAAAGTTTTGTAGCTGTAGAACAGCTTGCAACTGCGTGCATTTAGTGCTTGTGAGACTGGGTACTTTATGACTAAACTAAATAAATAGTTTAAGTATTATTACACACAAATATGATTACTTGCCTTGCTGTATGACAGCCTCGCCAGCAATATAGGTAACAGGAAACATGGCATCAAAAATGTCACTGAAAAAAATTTCAGAGTGAGTAACATGTGGAATAATGGTTAGAATGGCCTGCCCGAAGAGAATGGGGAGGCTTCCACACTTGTCATTCTGCAAACCATGTAAAACAGAATTGTTCAGGAGGCCATTTTTAGAAAGTTAACTGGGCTGTAACAACACGGTTTTGGGGAGCAGAAAAGGAATAGGACTGTGAAGTGTATAATATGTATTAAATGTTGGCTGTACGTATTAGCCTAATGGTTTTGTTTTATATCTATGTATACAACTTTCTACATTGTTTAACATATCATGTCTAATGCTTTGTTTTGTTTCAGACTGCTGTAATCATAATCCTGCTACATTGGTTATGAAATGTCTCATCTGATTGGATTACATTGATTCATACTGTATAATTCACCTTGAGTCTCAGTGAGAAATCTGAACTAATAATTATAAATTACTGAATAGTGTATTCATACTGACTCAAGTCTAACACAGGGCTGTCCAGTATACTCTCATGTGAGGACAAGCAGTATGATAATTGCACAAGCACTGGGCCTGTAAATTTAAAATATGGGTTAGGTTTTCCTGCCAACCATTTCCATATTTAACACATACAGGCAGCGTAAAACACAGACATCAACATGGCTGACTTCCTTCCTCATCTTGCTGGCCCACAAATATCTTTGGACCAATACTGCATCCCCCACAGTATCCATGCAGAGCCCACATGGCATCTTGCCACTCCCTGACCCTAAAGCTGCAGAAGTGAGGATTGGAAAGTCTTCTCAGTGCAATCAAATTCACAAAAGTTGATTGAGAAAAAACAGCAGCAGATATGTGTCTAATATCACAGCATGGGTCATAGCTAACCAATGATCAAAATGGTATGTTAAAAACTACATCCTAAATACTATATGCTTTTATTTGGCTTAATTTAAGAAATACAGGAAGCAGTAAACAGAAGATTTCCTACCTCCTTTCATTGTCATCCAGATGAGCAAAGAGCACATTCTTCTCAATAGCTTTGGCCAAAGCAGCCATAGTTTTGTAATCTTTTGGAATAACCTATAGAATGGGAAAGACCCAAGCAACTTCAATTAAAGGCTACAGACATAAATTCTTTAATTGAACTGATTTCTGACTGCAAGCCAAAATTTTGCCTTCACCTCTACCACCCCCCACTCCACCCTATTAAGGCTACTTGTCACACAATGTTATCTCTAGGTAGGAAGCTTCATGTTTTTGAAAACACAATTCATTTGAAAAATAAGAAAAGCTTTCCAAGGTTTTTTTAAATGCAATTACATTTACATTCTCACAGCAACTACAGATAGGAGAAATTTTCCAAACTGAGTTTTACTCTCCTCAACTCAGGGCTAGCAGAGTGGCAGATCTTCAGGCATCTTTCTGGCTACAACACGGCACACAAGAGCCTCAATAGGGAGAAAATTACTTGTCCTTAGCCTCTGTGAAGCCAGTGAACCCTTGATGATCCAGTCCAAGCTCAAGGACATGCTGTATCAAATGCAATCATTTATATTGTACAGTTCACTGAAAACTAATGCAATCACTAGGATATAGACAACCAACACAGTTGAGCTCTCACACAGTTATTAATGATTAATATCAAATTTTTACCATCCCAGGATGTTAACTCTGCTGCATGCACCAGCTAAATAATGCTGCTTCTCTCACCTGTAAATTTTACCGTCCACCTTACTGACATATCCCAAAGACGTTTTAACATGCTTATAACTCTCTTATTGTAAAATTTTCTGGAAACTACATACAAAGTAGAAGTGTCACTAGGGGAATATGATTTCTGTCTTGAGAGAGGTTATAATTGAAGTTACTTGGGCAAACATCAAAGCCACAGAGGAAGGAATTATTTCCTCCAGCCCAACTTTTACTTATAAATGCTTCCTCAACATTCCTATTCTTTTACTGACTTGGCACCTTGACCTGGAGAGCCTAAACTAGCCCAATCTTGTCAGATTTCGGAAGCTAAGCAGGATTGGCCTTGACTAGTATTTGGAAGGGCAACCTCCAAAGAATATCAAGGTCGTGACGCAGAGGCAGGCAATGGCAAACCACCTCTGAAAAGTTTCTTGCCTTAAAACAAGACTAGCTTACCACCTAGTGGTGCATAACGCCAAAAGAGTTAGAACTTGTAACTGCCAGACAATCTTAGGATCTCCTGGCTATACTATGTGGAACTGCAAAGGCAAACTACTGTTAAGAACATAAGAGAAGCCAATGTTGGATCAGGCCAATGGCCCATCTAGTCCAACACTCTGTCACACAGTGGCCAAAAATACCAGGTGTCATCAGGAGGTCCATCAGTAGGGCCAGGACACTAGCCCTCCCACTGTTGCCCCCCCAAGCACCAAGAATACAGTACATCACCTGCCCCAGCCTGTGAGTTCCTATCTATACCTCGTGGCTAAAAGCCACTGATGGACCCTCTGCTCCATATGTTCATCCAGTTCCCTCTTGAAGCTGTCCATGCTTGTAGCTGCCACCACCTCCTGTGGCAGTGAATTCCATGTGTTAATCACTCTTTGGGTGAAGAAGTACTTCCTTTTATCTGTTCTAACCCAATGGCTCAGTAATTTCATGGAGTGCCCACGAGTTCTTGTATTATGAGAACGGGGGAAAAGTACTTCTTTCTGGACCTGCTCTATCCCATGCATAATCTTATAAACCTCAATCATGTCACCCCATAGCCATCGTTTCTCCAAGCTAAAGAGCCCCAAGTGCTTCAACCTTTCTTCATAGGGAAAGTGTTCCAACCCTTTTATCATTCTAGTTGCACTTTTTCCAATGCTAGTTAGATGTGCATTATGCATTACATCAGGAGAGAAGCTGGATTTCACCCCAGTAATTTTGGCTAGGCACAGGAGAAATTGCACAGATCATTTTTGGAATGGCTGGATACAATACCTTTCTAACATAGGATGCAGCATCCTCTTCTGTGTAAACTTCTGCACTGATAGCACCACGCCTTCTGCGACCCTTTACTACTGGATTCATCGGTGGTGGTGGTGAAATCTCATCTTCACGCGAGTCAGTACGAGAGCCTGCTTTCTGCTGAGTCATAAACTGTTTTGTTTCTTCCTGCAGGCGAAAGAAAAAAAAGTAATGCAGGGAGCGGGAAAAACATTAACACGAGAGCAGCTAGTAGGAAGATAAATTAAAACAGAAATACAGCTATTCTTCCTGGTAATAGATTAGTTCTGAAATGATATGCAATGTATGCAAGAGTTTTCAGCAAGTTCAAATTTTAGATCTTTCCATATTGGCACCGGCAAATCCCTTTTAATAAGGCTACGGAAAGTAGCGCACCACTGTTTGAAATAGTAGTGACCAAATTCCATAGAGGATTTGAATAAGCAAACTCAGAACTTTTGCTCAGGGCTATGTTTCTCTACTCTTTGAGAGTAGAGAAACATCAGGCATATTTGCATGCATGCTGAAAGTACATTTTTAAACAACAAAATTCAAAGGTCAGTGAAATATACCTTTTATACTTATAAGCAGTGCTCAAAGTACAATATGCGAGTTATACAGAATTCTTCCTCAAACTGCATGTTCAAGAAAAAGAAAACTTTAAAATGAAACGCACACAGAGATGTGTCAGCGAGGGATTCTGAGAGACAGATTAGATTTTGAGAGTGATATGCAAGCCCACCTTGCAAGTTTCACTGCTAAGGACAATTCAATACATAACATGACAACAAACCCACATTTGCTACTGTCTAAGCTTAATATGGAGCTGCAGCCAATCCTGGCTTTTTCACAAACATCCATGTACAATACACATTTTCGGTGCATACTTCAAAAACCTTACAACATGAGATAATCCTAAAGAAGCATTGGAATCCAGGTCTTTTTAATCCATGACAAAGGTAAAAAAAAGAGCAACCAACATGTGTAAGCATTATTAGCCTTGTGATAAAGTGGTCAATGATTATCAGATTTTGCAATCAGATTTTGCAACAAGAAGCTTAATCCTAAAATCTTCCTTCTTGTAAACTGGAATGACATTCATTCAAGAGAATGATTGCTTAAATTGAAGGTATGAATTAAACTGGGAAATAATGCACGGCATGTGCAACATGGGTCTTGTGGTGAAAGAGTACAAGTTACATGTTGAAAGCATTAATTAATGTAACTTTTGATATTTTTATATTCAATCTTAAATGAAACTAAGCCAAGCTACTGCTTTCTCAAACAACATTAGTCACACTGGGATGAATACTTAGCAGAGAATAGAATGAAGATTATTATATCTTAACTGCACCAAAAGCATACATACACACTGAAGTGCCAGATTGTCTGAGGATCATCCCAGCTTTCTAGGTTGCATACAGGCAATCTCAAAGTCTAGGACAAAGGGTGGGAGGGAACATACTGTTTATGCCCTGAACATACATAAGAGTACCAAGGGACCTCTTCATACCGTAGCATTTGGGAGTTATTTTCAAATGAGCACTGATTATTCAGTGTACAAAATGGGTTCAAGAAGCTACTTTCCTAAAAATCAAGAGGGAATCGTGTAGCAGTGTAAAGACTATTAGTTTGGTATAGGCTTTCAGGGAGTACACTTCTCAATCAGTTGTGCGACAGCCATTGTTTGGCAGTGTGCAGTATATATACACACATACATGTGTAGAGGAAAAATGGTAAAAAAACATACAGGGTGTCTGAGGTCCATGATACACAAGAGTTATAGCCTGTGAAATTTTTATGCCAAATTCAACAGTACACAAGACACACAGTAATGATTCTCTCTAAACTTATTTCTATGAATCTGCCAACTGGCAACACACCATGCACTACACTTGAAGCTGCCATAAAAGGATGGGTATGAAACAGTCACAGATCCCAAAATCGTGTGTGCATCAAGTGCAGCAGCTGGCCTTTGCCTGAAGCCATTATTGAAGGGGCCGCAGGAAGCATCCAGGCATGCTTTCATCCTGGATCTAGTGATGCTGAGAATCCACCCCCCACCCAGGGAATAACTGGATTTTAGTGTAATACTAGTTTCAAATGTTAATTCTCATGAGCTGCTTCGCAACTAGTTTTGTCAAAAAGAAAAACACAAATAAAAGGAATAAAGTAATTTTTACCCCAGAAATTCTGAATTACTGAATTTGAAGTTGGGAAGAGAAGGCATGCTAGCTTGATGAATCATCACTACATTAGCCTTCCTTTTGCCATATCTCTCCCTTATATATAAAGCCGTAGTGGGCTCCAACGTTCCAAAATGCACGCCTTTAGTGTTTGGCCGCAAGAACTGTCAGTCAGAAGACGCTGGCTGGGTTGACTGGCTGCTTTGTGTAGTCCTGCCCACGTCAGCCCCGTTCGGTTCAGTCTGCTCAGTGTGCTCTGGGACTCTGACAGGAGAGGACCATCTGCAGACTGAACGCAGGGACGGGGCTTCTACGGCTGGGCCGCTTCAGCCCACTCTTCCCTGA